CGTTGCCGACACGAAAAAAAAAAAAAAAAAAAAAAAAAAAAAAAAAAAAAGAGATCAGTACACAGGAACGGCTCCATAAGGTAGGGACTTCTCAAGCCAAGAGAATTAAATGCCACTTCTTCCAGGTAGCAAGGAGGGCAGAGGTGTGGGTGGGTGAGGAGAGGATGACAGGAGAGTGACACCTGAGATGTGGTAGAAAGATCAGAACCCCAGGGTCGTAAAAAAGCAAGCTGGCGGGCCGTGCCCGTGGCGCACTCGGGAGAGTGCGGCGCTGGGAGCTCAGCAGCGCTCTCGTCGCGGGTTCAGATCCTATATAGGGATGGCTGGTGCGCTCACTGGCTGAGCGTGGTGCGGCCGGTCTCAAAAAGGACAAAAAAAAAAGCAAGCCGGGAGGGTTTAGCAGTCCCTGGCACAAGCTGAGCCCCTTTCACACCCCCGCCCCAGAACCGTCCTTCCTTTCCCACAGCTCCTGCCCAAGCTCCTGTGCTTCCCAGCTTTGTTTCCCAGTTTCCCTCCTATTTGTGCACATATGCGTGCTCACGCGTGCTCCACACATACCCGCTCCTCCTGCAGAGGGTGGGACTGAGCCCATGTCCCCTGTTTGTCAGTAAGGCTTATCTCTGAGCAGGAACTCTGGAAATGTTGCCACTAGGATGACACGTGAAGGCAGCCATCCATCCTCCACCCATCTTTTCAACACATTTTTACCGAGGGCTTTCTTTGTGCCAGGCACTGTTCTAGGTGTTGAGGATACAGCAGCGAACAAAACCTATGACTCGTGTGAAGTTCACACTCACATGTACATTCTCTCTCTCTACGCTTCCTCCTTGGTCCAGCTTAGAAACACTCTGCATCTGGCCATGGTATCCTAAGCCAGATCTCTAAGTCCTACTCAAACTAAATACCAGCAAGACAAAGAGGCTCGTTTTTCCATTATTTGTGTGTGGACCTCATGGCTCACCTTCTGTCCTGGTCTGGACATCCTTCCCACGCTCATCTGGCAAGTTTCTTGGAAAAGTCTTCCCAGACAGCCTCACATTCACATCCATTAGCTCAGCTGATCACAGTGCCCTTTTCCAACTTTTTTTTTTCTTTTACCTTTTCCAACTTCTAAATCCATAATTTTTAAACTTCTTTTTTCAAAGTGCCAGGATCTTTATTCAAATAAAATCTGCAGAGCTTCAGTGCACACGTAACAATACAGAAAGCAGAGACATCCTGGCTGAAGCCCCACAGGCTTCTGAGAAATCTTTCTAAGCTTTGGGTTCTCTAAACAGTTGGAAACCACTGTGTTGAGCCTTTGCTCTGCACAGAGCCACCACCGGTCCCCACTAGTCTCTAAAGCTTCATGGCCTTTGACCTGTACCCCTTAACAGACTGAGCTTCTTGGGGGCAGAGGCTGCTTATGTATGTCATTTTTCCAGTGCTTTCCTTGGGGCTGGGCTCCAGGAGCACTTGCTGCTGCACCAGTTAGTGTCTTTTGAGGTTTCCGGGCCATTTCCAAGCTCCAGAAATGCTGCCACTGCCAGGAACACCCTGCCCCTCTCACGTCAATCAGCTCATAGAACGCTGTTCCTCTCAGACTTTGCCCACCCACCCCAAATAAGCATCAAATCTCAGGGGTTCTCTTCTCCTCTAGTCACCACTCCAGATAGGGGGAGTGTGGGCACAGGGCACCCCAGAACTCAAAATGAAGGCTCCCTTTTGGGAATGAAACCAGAAGACTCATTAAACAGTGGCAGAAGTCAGCCATTTAGAGCAGGGTTCCATCGAAGAGAATCAGACGACCTGGGAATTGCTCAAGTCCAAGTGGAACACACAGTCTCGGGGAGGCTGGACTGGAATGTGACTCAAGCTGAAACTTTTTTTTTTTTTTTTTTTGTTTTTTTTCGTGACCGGCAACAGATCGCAACCCTCAGTGTCGCGCCCGTACCGGACCATTCACATCC